GTTAGAATGGTAATTTTTTCCACTATATTTTTTATGGCAACAGCTTCGAAGATTTTGTCTTGGCAGAAATTATCAATTTTAACTACCTCACAAAATTCAGCTATATCACTTCTTACAAAAATGTCAACACCGCCATAGGTTCCCCCATTTGAGGCTGGCTCTCTGTAATAGGATGTTAGCATACTGTAATTCTCAAAGAAAATTTTGCAATTTTTGGGGAGCCAGTGCTCCATTATACAGAAATACACCGGCTTAACATTATGTAACAATACTTGTAGCTCTGTACGCTGAAAGGACTTTGCACATTCAGTAGAATCATTGTGTTGTTGCACCCGTCAACATTATCGGGTACTGAGAGTTTTACATTTTGAGTTTCCCTATTATCAACTACTAGTTGAGCAGTTACGTCAGTAGGATCTAGTTTAAATTAATGGAGACACCTTCCAATTTGTTTGACATACTTATTCTTTTAATTAACCGTCTAGCTACTATTTGTTTGCCAATTTGATTAAGATGCAATAGATCTGTACTATAGTATTTGTATTTGATATCGTCAGCCCTTACCACGACTAAGTTTTTGTGGATTTTACCTAATTCATATAGAGTTTTGTTAGTGTCAAAAATTAGAGAGTTGACCCAGCGATCACTCGCCAAGTCAAATCTCCTTGGAATATTCACTAGGTACACTATCTTTTCTGAGCTTGCTAGGAGTTCTAAGAGCGATCTCACAAAGTACATTGCCCTGTTTTTGAAAATGTCATTCGCTCCTGCCCAGATTACAACATTATTGGACTTACTTTTCTCTATATCAATAATAACCTGATTGAAGGTCATGCCGGGTTTGATTGCTTCGGTGATGCTGACATTTAGACTGTCCTTAACTAAGCTTCCTATTCCCCGTCCGTGATTGTCCGCGAAAAGGTCCAGATGAAGATTCCGTACGTTCTTTGGTGCATTTCCCAAATGTTCATTCCTTTCGATGTTAGAGATTGAACACTGACTGGAATAGGTTTGTGGTGAAATGTTCCTGGTTTCACCTTGACTGGATGCTGATGATGGAGGGGGGCTTCTTCTAGTTGAAAGGCTGGCAACGGGGTTGTCCATCTCTGCTCTGGGACGTGCGTTTGATGTCAATGGCAATGGATCACTTCTAGTTACAAATCGTTTCCCCAAGAGCATCAGTTTTAACGAGATTTATTCATAATTCTGTAGATTAATAAGATGATACGATTAGATTTTGCCAAGACTTAGGTACAGAACATGAAATTTGAAATCAAGTTTTAGGATGCTGGATTACAAAGAAGTGCCTATGGCGTTATCAAATTAAATTAGATTATTGATAATTGATACAGATTTATGGGATGCCATAATAAATGATACAAATGGAGGTAAAAGCCAAAAAAATTAAATTATAATATTGTAATACAAACTTTATGAAGAAGAAAAGAAATTACAACTTCCATAACAAAAGTAAGTTAAAATTTATTTTCTTTTTTATGTAGTTAGAATTTATTACAATAGTATGATTTAATTTTTTTGGCTCTACCTTGACTTCTATCATGTATTATGTCTTTATAGCTTAGCCAGCCAAATTTGGCTTTAAAATGTATATGGGATGCTTTGATCAGATCTTGCCAAAACTTTCAGAATAACATAAAATTTGGAATCAGATTTTAGGAGGATACATTACAAATAAATTCTTGAAGTAAACTGAATTTAATCAAATTCCTTGATAACTATTCAGATATACATATAAGATAATTTGATCAGATCTTGTCAAAACGTATGAGACTTACAATTTGAAATCAGGTTCTAGGAGACTAATTTAAGAATATTTTCCCCAAGTGCATCAATTTAATCAGATCGTGCCAAAATTTATTGAACCTAAAATTTGAAATCAGATAATACTAGAATGCTGCTGAAATACATGTCCTCATGATTGGTTATAGAGTTAAGAAAATTCTCTGTGCACAAAAGATGATTCTTTTTCAGAGAAGCAATACACTCTACCAGAGCCCTTTGTTATCGGCGGTTTGACACACACCATGATATTTGTGAGAGGCACAAAACAAACATCATCTCCATTAGAAGGCCAATAGAATGAGGGTATCACGTGGATGCATACATTTGACCAAAACATCCCCTTCTTTATGTTTTGACAAAATTAAACCGAAGAAATAGTGGTCATCATAAGAACAGGCAATGTATGAGTTGATGAAAATTCCACTCATTTTCAGGGATGATGATTCTTGATCTTCAGAAAAATTAAAAATACAGTAGTAATTTGGGTCATAACTTATTCTCCTTGTTTCGATGGACATTGTTGTCAAAGGTTCAAAATGGTGATAGCTCCTCGTTCCTGGAATATTTTTGGCCAAAGAAAATCGCATTGTTAACTGTTGACGTCTCTCCAACATCTTCTCTGATGGCACAAACCAATATTTGATGTTATCTATTTCAGTACTACAAAATTTGTAGACCCTCAAAGCAGTATCAATATTTTCTCCGCAGTCTATCTGAAGGCTTGCCTTTCTCAATAGGCACTTGGTTGTTCCACCTACTCCATCACAAGAAGACTGCTCGTGACTGGTGGCAAAGAATGACCAGGTAGCTGCAATATCAAAGTCTTCATGATGAAAACATAAATTCAGAAAATTTTTGATGTTTTTGTACTGACCAGCACAACCGTCACTGAGGTACAGTAGGTATTGGACTTTCGGGAAGCATTCTTTGATGTGTTCAACGATGACTTTTTGGGTTTCATAAACAAAAGCAACATCATGATTTAAATCATCAGAAATCACACACATGCTGCTTTTAATTGGTTCTTCTTTTTCACTAAAGGTGTATAAAACAGCAGGATGAAGTGAGCAACTTTCATGAGACCAATAAGCACCTTGAACTTTGTCTTGAATGCAGTATGAATAGTTCTGACTAAAATCAAGGACCAAAATAGCTTCATTCTCCTTTATATTCGCCTTCTTGTCCTGGAGAAACTTGCCTTGTTGTTTGGCTATAAAGGAATGCGAGATCAACTCCTCCAGACTGCTTAACAGCTTTTCAATGTACTCTTCAAGCGTTACGTGGAAAGTTGCTTGTTGCGTCCTGTCAGTTGAGACCCACATATTGTATGAGATCTCATCCTCAGAATCATACTCATCAAATTTGTCCTTAAGAAACTGTTTCAGTTTTCTGTTATTTGGACACTCAGTACAATGGCGTAACATACAGTCTTTGTTGTCCGTGGAACAGACAAGGTATTCGATCAATTCCTGATAAGTTTCTTCAATTTCGCATGCTGAAAGGAGCAGTTTTACATTCTGATGTATGGTGCAAAAACAAATATTGTGTGTCCCAGCGGAACCACTCAGAACACACCACTTTGGCCTCAAAGTGCATTTAGAGAAAGCTACCTTGCATTGCAGATTTTCAATAAACTGACTGAGTTTCAGCTTAAATGATACAAAATCTCAATGGCTTAGTAGAAAGAAAATTCTTACACGACAAAAAAATAATTGTTAAGTAACGAAAATACATAGGTCACAGGTAAATGATATTAGGCTATGAAATGATCAGAAGCTACATTTGGACGGAGAAAAAAAATTAGAACTTCAGAATTCTTAATTTAGGCATGAGATACCTAATCACTAATCAGTCAAATTCATTATCACACGAGTTCCATTTTTGAAATAATGATCAAATATAGGAAAAATTAGATTGCCTATGAACTACTCTAATCAGATAGGAATCAGAATTTCAATTTGTACTTAAACTGACTGAGCTTCAGCTTAAATGCTACAAATCTCAATGGCTTAGTAGAAAGAAAATTCTTACACGACAAAAAAATAACTGTTGAGTAATGAATATACATAGGTCACAGGCAAATGATCTTGGGCTATGAAATGATCAGAAGCTACATTTGGACGGAGAAAAAAAATTAGAACTTCAGAATTCTTAATTTAGGCATGAGATGCCTAATCACTAATCAGTCAAATTCATTATCAAACGAGTTCCATTTTGGAAATAATGATCAAATATAGGAAAAACTAAAAATTACCTTAATTAGACAGGAACCATAATTCCAACTTGTACTTAAATTGACTAAGCTTCAGTCTGAATGTTACAAAATCTCAATAGCTTTGAAAGATGACAAATGAATATACGTAATTACGAGAGCAACACGTAAGTGATATTGGGCTGTTAAATGATCAGAAGGTAAAGTTGGATGCAAGAAAAAAAAATTAGAACTTCAGAATTCTTTATTTAGGCATGAGATACCTAATAATTTTGACTAGAACAATTCAAAGACTAGTTCTTGTCATAGATACCTTAATAAGAGACACCGTTGTACATGTTTTTGTTGAAAAATTTCAAAACATTATCAGAAATTTCAAAATCATAACAATTATCCATATCAATGAAAGCTTTAGAATGCATGATCCCTCTCATGGTGGGATTTTCAATTCTATTTCTCAACTTGGTTTTGTTCAAATTCTGAGTGGAAAAATCTCTCTCCACACACGCTGAGAAGTGAGGGAGTGTAAATACATGATTCTGGATAAAATAGCTCAAATTCGGGTACTTTAGGGTATTGCCCAAATTAATTTCAAAAACTTTTCCATAAAATTCGGACACATTTGTCAGTATCTTTCAGTGTAGGTTCAAATGCAAGACCTCGAAATTCTACATCGATTTTATGTATGAGGTCTTCTCCGAGGAATTTGTAATGCCTCAATACCGGAGCTAAGCTAACTTGATTCAGCACTTTTTTAGGATGCAGGATACCTAAGTCTTTCCATAACTGGTGATCCTTGAAGTTGAATTTTTCCAACATTGCTTTTGTTGTAGCTACAAAAAAGTTTATGCACCTAGTTTTGATATGTTGATTCATATCCTTGTTCTTTGATTCTAATAAGGACATTAGCGCTTGGGGACCAACGTACACTTCCTCAAGAGGCAAAAAATTTGAGGGCACTGTTGGATCAAGTGACTCAGCTTGGTCAATTAGATTGCGCTTAGTAAAAAATGACGAGAAAGTTTTGTATAAACTTAGAAGCTTATCCTACAACTCTAAAATCAGACACCGTTCTCTTTGAAACAATAAATTCATTTTCAGTATTTCTGGAAGTACAAAGGACAGAAACTGTAGGAATATTTTAGTCTGGGGGTCGGTTAACCAGTCAAGAATTTTTCTGGCTGCCAAAAGAGTAGAATCTTTTGATTCATTTCTAAAAAAACATTAATAGAGCATCATATTGCTCGAGAAAACTACGGACACATTCCTCCAAGGAAAGCCCCTCTTAAGAATTTTATGCTGTTTGACGTCGCTCATTATTTGGCACCAGTGTAAGTGGCTGTAGCGTAGTGCGCTTCCTCTTACATATGAATATGTATCCCTGAGCAAGTCTTCAAGGTATTTCGGCAGCTGCTCACAGCCTCTACCAGCACAAATTGTGAAGGAGTGACAAATACACAGACAAAGTGAACAGATCAGGGCAATCGATTAAGAACAGTGCTTCGACAGAATTTTTTCGGCCATGCATTACATTTGTGCAATCTGCGGCAAAGCCTACTATATTAGATTTATATGGGATGTTATTCTCATCAAAAGATTTTTTAATAGCATTGTATAAATTTATGGCATCGCCCTTAACCATTTCCTTCATATCGAAGAACCTATCCCTCGCATCCCGTCTTTTGGGATCAAAATATCGGACTGACAGGGATAGGTTCATCGTCGAGCCTTGGTCCGTTGATTTGTCAATAATGAGGGCAAATTTTTTAACTCTTAACATTTCATTGAGTTCTTCCCGACTGGCAGCACCTATCACATTCCGTACAATTGCGGTGGTTTTTGTTCTCCTGCATTGAAATTTTGCTGCTATTTCCGAGTCGGGGAACATTATCGGAAATAACTGTGAAGCGTGGTCACTGATATTGAACGGTAGATTATGTTCGGAGGTGAACCCACTACTGAATTTCCTTCTCGGTCCCTACCGAAGAGGTTATCACTTGGAAAGTCAACGACATACAGGTCAAGCATTTGTGATTGGTTTTTGAATTTGACTCTAACTTTTAAGTAGCCTAGCATGCCAAATCTGTTTGTCGTAAAACTTGAGAATTTACGTTTAGACGGATAGTGTTCCATTTGGAAAGAATCAATTTTTAGTGTCAATATCGACAACAGAAACAGAAGCACCTGTGTCAAGTTCCATTGTCAGGGGTTGGTTTTTAACAGAAACTTTGAGATTGATTGGCTTAACATACACATTTTCTTCAAGTAGGAAGGTGTTCGAGGGGGCTCAGACTTTTCCTCGTAACAGGTTGAGATGTTCATTAAAAAGGTTGGGATATGATACTGGTTTTTCCTCTCTAAGTTGATATTATCCATGAAGGAATTTACCTGTAAAAATTCAGTACAGTCCGGTTATTCTAAACTTTGGTCATGAGGGTTTTCATCGGTGAGAGAGTTGATACGAGATTGAGATTGGTGAGAGTTGTTGGCAGCAAACTTGGCTTTTCGGCAAACTGAGGAAATGTGGCCTTTGATATTGCAGTAATTACAGATGGAGTTCCGGAGCTTGCAAGAGAGTCTTACATGCGATCCGCCGCAAGATTGGCAAGATGCATTTGGAGACTGAGCGCTAGATTTACGATAAGGAGGATGGGGGCTCTGATAACGCTTGAAAGGTCTTGAGTTCGGAGAGCTGGAACGACTGCGGCTTGAATTACTATTTGAGCGAGAAGAATGTCTGAAGTAGGGTTGTTTCCGAGTTTTTGGTCTGCTTTCATGGTAAAATTTGTGAATTTTGGAATCAGCGACTTTAAGGATGGTGGACGCTTTACGGGTGGCCTCCATGTCAAGTGCAGTGTACAGAGCTTTATTAAAATTTTCTGGCTTAATACTGACAATTTCATCTCTAATATCATCACGGATAATGCCATGAATAAATTGGACAGTCAAAGAGTAGTCAAGAAAGGTTCCAAACCCGCAGTAGCGGGAAGCAGACTTCAGACAAGTAACATATTCTGAAATTGATTCGTCAGATTTTTGCACAACATCCCTGAACTTGATGGCTTCACTATACTTGTTTTTAGAAGCAATAAGATGATCGGTCAACTTTTTGGTTATGTTATCAGAGATGAGCCCTGAGACCCATAAGAATGTATGCATAATAGGGCTCATGTCATAATGCACATGGTTCCGTTTGTCAGAAATACGTCCAAATATTATATTTACTTACTCAACACTCAGTGTTCAGAGCTCACGTACTGTCAGCATATATTTTGGGGTGCTGCCATTCTTTCATAAAATTGAAGGGTTGGAGGAAATTTTGAAACATGGCAGCAGAAATGCATGTGGCCTTGTCAGGGCTTTGAATTACAGCAGTAAAATGAACCCTGTGCTGCGTAAGCATAATGTTCCAGGTATTATAGAGGAAAAGCATTTACTCACCCTCATCGACATAGAAAATAAGGTGGGAAAAGGCTTCTTCTTCCATGACAAAACATTGAAAAGTACAACTTGACTAACTAGAAACTTCACTACTTAACTGACAACTTAACTACTTAAATGAACAAGAAACAACTTAAACAACTTAATGAGGTTAAAAATTCCAAATAATTCAATAGCACAAGGGTATTTGACTAGCTGGCGGACGCATAAACAAGCAAACCGGTAAACAAGACAACCATAAGACTCGCAGACCGCTGGATTCAGTGATTCGCACTCCAAGGCCAAGTACTAATTAGTCATCACTTAGTCATGGCAATTAGCAGCAGTGTTGCCAGATAAATTTCTAGCTTGAAAAAAAGCCGGAATTTTATAACCAGATGCCAGAAACTTCTTGAAAATGCCAGATATTCATGACAGAATGCGGGAGAATCTGAAAAAAAAATTTTGCCGGAGATTTTCCAAAAAAGCCGGAGATGCCGGAGATTTTTCGAAAATGCCGGAGATCTGGGAACACTGATTCGGGGTGTTACACGCAAAATTGAGCTTGACAATATCGAAATTCTTTTCAAAACGAAAGAAAAACGAAAGAACGTTTCTCTTCGTTTTCATCAAAACGAAGAGATTAAGACAGTTTTCACACTTGTTTCACTTACTGGTCCACAGGAATTTTTTTTTGAACATATGCCCCCAGACTCAATTTTTTGGAGCGTTTTTTGCTAAAAAGTGTGATTAACCAATGAAGGAGCTGCATACCCACGATTTTCATTTTTTAATCAGTTAGAGCATACTCTGAAGTTGATTTACAAGAAAAAAAAGTTGGCAATATCTCGTTGGCCTCGGTTGCTACGCCCATTTTAAGAAAACTAGTTTTCAGCGTTAAAAATCAGGGCTAAAACGGCGTATCTTCGGCTCAGTTGGCTCTCCTGAGTAAGTTGGGTTCAATGGGGAATTTTTCCCTTAAAATACATACTAACACGAACTAGTGTGCCAAATTTCAGCTTAAAATTTTTAAAACTCCAAAACTCATGAGGCTTTTTCAAACACGAGTCATTCCCGTTTTCTGAGTTTGGAGAGAGCATTTTTAGAGAAGGCCATAAAACTTCAAAAGTATTTTTCTCAAGAAATATTGAAGATATGAAGCTGAAAATTTGGGTTTTTTCTTATTTAGACTGATAGATTAAGTAAAAAAAAAAATCATGGAAATCCGAGTCTGGTGGTTACAAGTCCGTTCGAATTGACATGGAATGACCCAAGATCCAGTTGTTGAACTTAACAAAACTAGTTTTTCTGCTCTGCCTCAACAAGACGCAATTCTTAAAGATCCAGTTGTTGATCTTACCAAACATACTTCTTCTAGTCTGACTCTACAAGACTCAATTTTTCAAGACCCTGTTGTCGAGCCTACCAAACGTAGTTCTTCTATTTTACAAACTTCTCCTCTATAGTCCCAAAATTCTGTTCCAATTGACTCTCCTTAATTGAAAAAAAAAAGCATATTAATAAAAGACAAATGAAAGAAATGGCCGCAGATGCAGGGTTCATAAATCAATGAAGCCAAATCCATGCTGTGACGATACTTCCTGTTATTAAAATTGTAAAAGCATTCTTGAAAAAGATAGGAAACCAATTTTTGTTCAATACTATAACTCAAAGAAGAATTGGCTGTTGAGTTGTATAAAGCAGGTCCCTGTGAAAAGGCATAGAAAGAAGGGTGGTGAGTCAAGCTGCTTCTTTACTACAGAATATGAATTAAACATTAATGGCATTGAACAAATGGTTTGTCTTAAATTTTCATGTGCCACCTTAGATGTCAGCCCAATGGCCCTCCGCCATGCTCCGAACACAAGTTCCACTAGCAATCACGCCAAAACCGATGCCATAGGTAAACATACACCTCCCAACAAAGCTGAAACTGATCGGATTAGGTATGACCAACAATTCATTGACAGTATTCCAGCAGTGCCATCTCATTATCGTAGAAAAAACGTAAAAAAGCTCTTGTCTGCCATCAGATATTGGAAACATTACCAATTTGTATCGGTTGTATAAATCAAATTGTATCAAAAATAATAGTACACCTATTTCAGGTCAGGAGTAGGGTTTGCCGCAACGTTTTTAGTCAATTTAATTTAGGATTTCATGTACCCAAAAAAGAAAAGTGTGACAAATGTACTAGAGTGTTGGATTTAGGTGAGGAAAATATTAAAAGAGCAGAAATGGCTACAGATAAACAACATTGATTAGAGGTCTCCAGATGCGCCAAAATTTTCAAAGGAGACCAGAATATTTCTTGTCTTGATGATTCCAGTGGAGTAAGGTCATTATGTACACAATTGGATTGCATTTTGCAAAAAGGAACCACTAGCATTGCAATGTTGCTAAGATTGTGCAACTTCTTTTGTCTTGGAGGAAAAACCCGATTATCCATTAATAGTTTCTATTTTACTCGCTAAAAACTGTAAATTTAAGACAAAAATTACCATCTAAATTTCATAGTTTTTCACGATTTCCGCAATTTTATTGCAAAAGATGAAGTTGCACAATCTTAGCATCATTGCAATGCTAGTGGCTCCTTTTTGCAAAATGCAATCCAATATCCTTTGATCTTCAGAAAGTCCTCAGCACTCCTAATGGGGATAACATGCTACTGGGATTTTCAAGGAAAGTTTCTGTTTACAATTTTACAGCGTATGAGTTTAAAACTCAAGACAATGTTCGTTGATATTCAAGACTGGGCTGAAACGGAAGAATCTTTTAAAATGACTTGTGTAAAAAATAGAAAACAAAATTTAAATATTTCAAAGGTAAGCTCCGTTGTTTTCACAAAAAATCAACCCATTTCTGTTTATTACGGTTACAAAAACCCTACAAGTGAATCTTTTCTCATTGAGTCGAAACTTGGTAGTATTCCTTTTCAGCCAAAACAGGCCTATAGTGAAAGGTTACCTATTAGTACATCGAAATGTAAAGACCTCATGAAATTAGTACAAAAAAAAATAATAATACCAGAAGCATATGCACCTGAGTACGAGAAAATGCTGTATGGAAAAAATTTCATTGACACCCTTCCGGAAACGGATGAAAAAGATGTGGATGAGCCAGAATCCAGTAAATTATACAGTTCCTAATAAATCGATTCGATACATCCAATGGGTCAGTTGTGCTGGCCACTAACTTGTGTTGATGCTTGAGTCATGCAGAATAGCTAGCAATAATAAGTTGTGTCCAAACAGCAATTTTCTACGATCAATACTGACCGAGATATCGCCATTTGAAAAGTCGAGTTTTTGATGTCATCCGCCACGGTGTTAACACTTTTGGTTTCTTCCACCTTGCTTTCATCAGTCAGTGTGACGCACATTTGCACTGGTTACTAAACATGAAACTCTGATGAAAGCAAGGTGGAAGAAACCAAGGGTGCCACCACCGTGATGGATGATGTTGAGGACCGGACTTTTCAAAGGGCAATATCTCGGTTAATATTGAATGTAGAAAGTCGCGGTTTGGACAGACCTTATTAACTTCAGCTAATCTACAAAAATTGAGCATTAAAACACAATTCTGTGACCAATACATCTGACCTATTAATATTATAACTTATAGATATTGTACCAAATTTGTTAAGGATGTTTTTTGATCCTTTCTTAACTGTAATGTTTTATATGTACCTGTTGGTATGTAGATCCGATGCTCCTATGAGGAATTAGGGGGTTTTCTGATGGATGCTTCTTAATTCCTTTCTTACCTCTGATTTTTTATCAGTACAGTGAACAAACATTAATAATCTTTAAAAGAACTACCTATGATTAGTATCATATTTTATAATTCCTATTTGTTGATCACAAATGATGCTTTTGTTGGAATTTGTATTATTTTTCTGAGAGTTTCTATTTTCATTATTAATCCTTACTCTGTTGGAAACTTCGTGGGTAGAGCGCCACAAGTCAACTGTGATAAAAATTTCAAAATGCTCACCTCTCTCTGTTGTTTTTATAATTATAACTATGTGTTAGGTACCTGTAATCGATTCAGTAAAAAAAGGTGTCCTATGAAATTGTTCTTAGCTCTGAAAATCAATAACAGCGCATTTTTGGAAACGTGCAGTCATGTTTATATGTTAATGCGATGCTCTTATGAGGAATCAAGGGCTTTTTTGATGGATGCTTCTTAATCCTGTCTTGCCTCTGATTTTTTTATAAGCACAGTGAACAAACGATAATACTCATGAAAATAATTATAATTAGTTTTGTGTTTTTTTATCCATTTTGGTTGGTTACAAATGATGCTTTTGTTGGAGTTTTTATTATTACTCTGAGAGTTTTTATCTTCTTATGTGGATCGCATTTTGCAAATAGGAACCAGCGCAATTACAGGGTTGTAAAAATGTTGCTTCCTTATAAATATTTAAACAATCTCCCAGAACAGCAAGTAGCTTTGGCTTCCGATGTAAAAATTGTTAATTTTAAGAGAAAATAATTGTGTAAATTTTAATACTGTACTTACATTAAGTATTTTTAAGAGAGAATGAGAAGTTGCACGGTTTTTAAAACAGTGTAACAGCGTTGGTTATTTTTTGCTAAATGCAATTCATATATTAATCCTTTCTGTGTTGTTTTAATAATCATAACTATGTGTTACTTGTAATCAATTCATTCAAAATGTTTGGTTACTTATTTCTCTTTTCTGTCGGAAGATATTATTTGAAGTGACTGCCCGTAGAAAGGCGTATTATAAAACTGTTATTGCTTTTTTGATGGATACTTTTAGATCTTTTCTTACCTGTACTGTTTTATTTAGTCACCTTCCGGCGAAAGTATCACAAGCTCCATCCGACAATTAAAAATTTCCGCTGCCATTTTATTTTCTTGCAGAGAAATTGTTCAACGAAGCTGACCGAAAATTTCGTTCGGTGCTACCGATTAAGTTCAGTGAAATTTTCAAACAGATTCAACCAAGAATTTCTCTTTAAAAAAATAAAATGGAGGCAGATATTTTTAAATGTCATATGGCGCTTGTGATACTTCAGCCGGAAGGTGACGAATGTACTCGTGATCGATTCATTCAAAATGGTTTATATTTTTTTACTTATTTCACCCTCCAGTCTGAAGGTATTATTTGAAGAGATAGCCTGTGGAAGGGCGTATTATAAAATTTTTAAAGTTATTTAATGATAAACTAAAATTGTTTATTCAAACTATAAATATCTGTCTTAATCTACAACTGAACTCAAGTATACAGTAACAGTAACTTCGTATAGTGCATCTTATCTTTAGTTCCTTATTGTGTTCAATCTTTTTTCCTAAATCTTAGAGGAATAATTTTTATTTTTTGATTTTCGTATCTGTATATTTATGATTTTCGCTGCATAAAATGCAATCTGCCTTGTGATACTGTATATGGCTGTTAATTAAATCATACGCTCTTCTTTGTACGCCTAATAATAAATGCATTTTTGTACAACTATAGTATGTGAAGTTTTTAGTTTTACTGCAAGCCCTCTTTTGCCTTCTGTACTCTTCTAACTTTCAAAGGTCTTAATTATTTGATCGAAACAAGAAAAGGAAAAGAAGAAAACAATTTTCGATCTATTTTCTTTGAAATGTGAGATATTTGGAGAGCTAGGCGCAAGTTCAGATTTAAAAAAAAAAATTAAAAATAATAAAATAAATAATAAACCAAAAGAAATGAAAAGGTTTAAAGATAGTTGTATTGAATGCTCTAATGAAGCTAGTCGCAGTGTGACACTTTTTACAGTTGAACATCAAAGCATCATTTTTAAGCTGCATAATTTCTGGTCAAAATTCATTTCAACCATTTGGTGCCATGAAATTTAGAAATTCAGACTCATTTTTCTCAAACGAATAAAAACAGCTTCTTTGTACTCGGACCTCCAAGGATCAATAACTAGAATCCAAGGATCCTTAGAAAACTTGAGTCCCTTTATTTCAGTGGAAAAACACTTTGAGAACACGAATACGCTAGAATATGGGTGGAACTTTAGCATTAAGTGCGTCTCTCCATAAAATATTTAAACTGTTTCAAGATGCCTACCCCAAATCCCCCGATTTTGAAAGATGATTAGCTGGTCTCTAATTTTTTGGCAGCATATACTAAAGTGAATACATATAACAAAAGAATATCGACGGTGAAAGTCGGCAATCACATAACTCGATTTGCGACGTCGCAGACTTCCTGTCATACTTTATTTTTAAAATGGAAAACTACTCAACGGCAATTCTTTAAAACTGTCATGATTTTTCTTCTCAATGCGAAGAAAATTCTGCAAAAACTTCAAGAAATAATATCAATTTGTTCTCCTTTAAAAAAGTGACGTAGAGGCGGAGATTTTCAGACACCGCAAACGAGTTATGTGATTGCCAACTTTCACTGTCGATATGAACTATGCAATACGATAATCCGGGTACCGGAACTTGGCTGATTTGAAAACGCCTTCAAATGCGGCGTGATACCTCATGCATTCCGGAGAGTTCAAATAGTTGTATCATTGCGCCGCGCCGTACGAATGTGACGGAAGTTTTAAATGGAAATAGCCTCCATGCACACTGGGCGTGTCGATTTCCGTTGACGTTTTTGCGCTGGTGAATGCGTAGCTGAAGTGCGCTCCAGCTAAAATTGTATTTAGCAAATGGGTGGTTTTTCTACGAGGATTAAAAATAAACGAGTGGCACGGAATATAACAAAATAATATGAACTATGCAAAACGATAATCCGGGTATCGGAACTTGGCTGATTTGAAAACGCCTTCAAATGTGGCGTGATACCTCACGCACTCCGGAGAGTTCAAATAGCTGTATCATTGCGCCTTCGGAATGCGACGGAAGATTACCTACACTTGAAATAGCCTTCATGCACGCTGGCCTTTTCGATTTCCGTTAACATTTTTGCAGTCATGACTGCGCTTAAGTGCGCTTCAGCTAGAATTGAATTTAGCAAATGGGTGGTTTTTATAGGAGGATTATACTTAAACAAGTGGTTAGAAATGGAATCAAAATAATATGAACAATGCTAAACGATCATCCGGGTATCGGAACTTGGCTGATTTGAAAACGCCTTCAAATGCGGCGTGATACCTCACGCATTCCGGAGAGTTCAAATAGTTGTATCATTGCGCCGTACGAATGTGACGGAAGTTTTAAATGGAAATAGCCTCCATGCACACTGGGCGTGTCGATTTCCGTTGACATTTTTGCGCTGGTAAATGCGTGGCTGAAGTGCGCTTTAGCCAGAATTGTATTTAGCAAATGGGTGGTTTTTCTACGATGATTAATACTAAACAAGTGGCACGGAATACAGGGTTATCCAAAAGTCACTGACCACCCCTATAACTTTTTTCAAAATTAAGATAGCAGTTTGAAACTTTGGCAATGTTCCTCGGTCTAAAGTAGCAACTTTTTGGTTCCCCCAAAATTTTGGGGGGCGGGGCTAACTTTTTTTTTCAAATGGCAACCTCCCCTTTGTGATACCTCATTCGAAAGATAATAAAAAAGAAAATTTATGGCGCAAACCGCAGGTCAAAATGTTGATTTTTGACGAAATGGCGGCCGGTCAAAGTTCAACATGGCGGAAATTTGGCATCTCCGTTTTTATCGGCGGATTGGTCTGAAACTCGGAATCCTCGGTTTTTTGGGACGAGAAAAATGATTCTGGCATCGGTTTTCCAGAAAAGTCAGTTCTTTTCAAAATGGCAGCGGTCAAAATGGCGGACTAGAGCGAGAAGTGGTTATTTAGGCTGCTTATCGTTGGATTTGCATGAAACTTGGTATCCGGGGGTATTTCGGCACGAGAAGAACGGATCTTTCCATGGATATCTGAAATTCCGACGAATTTCAAAATGGCGGCGGAAAAATCAGTTTTACGGCTATGTTTACCGATGGATTTGCATGAGAGTTGATATCGATTGTTTAGTATTTCAAGAATTAATGAAAGATTCCCATTTATCGAGCCAAAAGCCACCAGGATATCGAATTTCATGCAAATCCATTGGTAAACAGCCGTAAAACTGATTTCTCGCCACTTTTCCGCCGCCATTTTGAAATTCGTCGGAATTTCAGGTATCCAAGGAAAGATTCATTCTTCTCGTGCCGAAATACCCCCGGATACCAAGTTTCATGCAAATCCAACGATAAGCAGCCTAAATAACCACTTCTCGCTCTAGGCCGCCATTTTGAAAAGGACTGACTTTTCTGGAAAACCGATGCCAGAATCATTTTTTTCGTCCCAAAAAAACCGAGGATTCTGAGTTCCAGACCAATCCGCCGATAAAAACGGAGATGCCAAATTTCCGCCATTTTGAACTTTGACCGGCCGCCATTTTGTCAAAAATCAACATTTTGACCTGCTGTTTGCGCCAAAAATTTTCTTTTTTTATTATCTTTCGAACGAGGTATCACAAACGGGAGGTTGCCATTTGAAAAAAAAAAGTTAGCCCCCGCCCCTCAAAATTTTGGGGGAACCAAAAAGTTGCTACTTTAGACCGAGGAACATTGCCAAAGTTTCAAACTGCTATCTCATTTGGAAAAAAGTTACAGGGGTGGTCAGTGACTTTTGGATAACCCTGTATAACTAAAGAATATGAACTATGCAAAACGATAATCCGGGTATCGGAACTTGGCTGATTTGAAAACGCCTTCAAATGCGGCGTGATACCTCACGCACTCCCGAGAGTTCAAATATTTGTATCATTGCGCCTTCGAAATACGACGGAAGATTACACTTGAAATAGCCTTCATGCACGCTGGCCTTTTCGATTTCCGTTAACTTTTTTGCAGTCACGAATGCGCTTAAGTGCGCTTCAGCTAGAATTGAATTTAGCAAATGGGTGGTTTTTATAGGAGGATTATAATTAAACATGTGGTTAGAAATGGAATCAAAATAATATGAACAATGCAAAACGATCATCCGGGTATCGGAACTTGGCTGATTTGAAAACGCCTTCAAATGCGGCGTGATACCTCACGCATTCCGGAGAGTTCAACTAGTTGTATCATTGCGCCGTAAGAATGTGACGGAGGATTTAAATGGAGATAGCCTCCATGCACGCTGGGCTTGTCGATTTCCTCTGAAATTTTTGCAGTGGTGAATGCATAGCTGAAGTGCGCTTTAGCTAGAATTGTATTTAGCAAATGGGTGGTTTTTCTACGAGGATTAAAACTAAACAAGTGGCACGGAATACAGGGTTATCCAAAAGTCACTGACCACCCCTGTAACTTTTTTCAAAATTGAGATAGCAGTTTGAAACTTTGGCAATGTTCCTCGGTCTAAAGTAGCAACTTTTTGGTTCCCCCAAAATTTTAGTTTACGTTACAGGGGTGGTCACTTACTTTTGGATAACCCTGTATAATTTGGTATGCTGCACTTATAACCCCGGATCTCTCGGCTCATTTAATGTATTGTCGAATCGCCCTTTTACAGGTCGGTCGGACCTTTTTGGAAATAGATCCGGAAAAGAGGACCAACATTTCTCGTTTCACATAGAGTAATTTCACACATCTTGAGAGTGTTTCACGCCTATTTTCATGAAGTTTGGCGTGTTGAAATTTTTTTAAATCGCATTCAAACCTCGGATCTCTTGGCTCATTTAATGTATTGCTGAGTCGCCCTTTTGGAGCTCACTGGGCCCTTTTTGAAAGAAGGCCCGGGAACACTCGTGACGATTAGTGCCTTAAATGGTAGGCGATAAGGCAACACTGCATGAGGCACTCTTGCACTCCTAGTGCAACCTAGTGGCGTATATGAGAGGCGCGCGCTGGTCGACGGGCTGCGCGGTAGTGTTCCTTCCTCAGTCTTTCTCCTGTGGGTTAGTTCGACATGTTCACTTCACTTCCACTTCACCCCGAGCCAGTCTCATATCGTGACGTCATGACAACATCCGTTAGTTCATCAAGGAATTTGTGATTTGTTGATTGTGTCTCTGGAATTACGTTGGCAGTTGTAAAATCGTTGTGCTCTGCGTTGTGCGCGTCGCTGTGCCGTGCCGTGTTTATCTTCGAAACTCTGGGATTTTGCGTCGGCGATCCTCGGGATTAAATTGTGCAGTGTATTCTACTATGTGGTGTGTCTTATCATTGTGAAGTCATGTTTCGCTGTATTCCCATCTTCAAGGGATGTAACCGACATGTCGAGTTCGTCGACAAGCGTCACTGTTCGCTCGCTTGTGTCCCAGAAGACATTTTGAGATACTCCAGGAGTTTGGAGGAATTGCTGCTCGATGCAAATCAGATTTGCGAGCTACCAGAGGTTTGTTCATTCTTTCTCAGTAGCTTATTCATCCCCATTCACAGTAGCATCCACTCATTCAGAATCCACCGAATGTGACGATTGTTTGGAGAGGGGTGTAAACTCTCAAAATATAACCTCTCTTGTATGGTTTCCTTCATGCAGGAGCCCTTCAATTTGTCTTTAACTCTATTTAGCCATCGTCTAAACCTAGTCATCTATTATATATCAGTTTGGAACAATATGCTAGCAACATCAGTCAGGTCTTGAGGGAGACTAGTCAGTTGTAGTTCAAAGCTGCAATGTCGAAGTACACCGCGGGAACGGGATTCCCCGATTTCCAAAGGTTTGCATTGTTCAAAGATGTTCAAATCACTTATCGCCTTGGATAGTCATATTCCAATAGGCAATGTTTTTGATTCTCTATCTTGAGAGAGGATCAGGACATCAAATTTTATTTAGAGCTTGCTTATTGTTAGTAGGCATGTCGAGATGAATGTCAATCTCCGATCAGATTTGAATCAGTAGCGCTGAACTGTTTAATTCATAGATGAGTTGTTAAAGTCAGAATTGCAACTTCTGAGTTATCCGCTGAGTTGCTGAGCTCAGCGGAAGTGTTGTTAAACGTTTTCTGAGGTTATCCGCTGAGCTGCCAGTTTGTAAACAAAGGCCGCCATCTTCTCAGCAAAATTGGTCGGCGCTCAGCCATGTCCCATGGTCCGCTGAGCTGGCTGAGCTGCTATTACTACGTCATAGGCAATATTTGTTTTTGTTTTGCTAAGCGGATAACTCCGAAATGGCGGACTGACGTCATTTCGCTGACTTCCCTTTTTGAGTTTAACAATGCGTCTCATGTCATTAGATGGGCATTTTTGATGAGTGGTGGCTCAAAGAAGACTTGTCTTTAGTCTTAACCTATGATAAGTGAGCTTCAGTATACAGATGAAGTAAATGGTTTTGGATGAGTTTACTTCAGTTGTGCATCTTACAAACCATTTTCTGCAACCATTAGTTTGCGATAGAACTGAACCTTACTGAATGTACAGATCATGAACTGGTCTTGTCTAGCTAGTTATGGAAATGAACTTTACAATTTAATTGAAGCACTAGAACTTATTGTCTCGTATTTTGAATGAGGCACCGGCCATTTCTTGGAATAGTGTTAAAATAACGGAAGGTCGCAGATTAAATTATCCAAAGAGTTGCTAAGTTTGTTGCAATCAATGACAGTACCTAGCTGACTAGTTATCTTTGATGAATAAGTAGAATACTTGCACTAACTGTGTTCTGAGGACCCTTTCAGATTCTTTCTTTGCCAAAATATATTAGTTCTCTTATCGAAAACTCTTTAACTTACAGGTTTGGTGAATCAAGAAGCAATTATAATTAAACTTAAACTTCCTGATCACTAATTTTTTACTCGAGTCTCTCTATAATTTTAGTCGCAATACAATATGCCCTATTTCGTTTAAGATGTCCAAGCCCAAGAGTTTCATTCTCATCAAGATTTTAACAGGAATGAGTATTGTAAGATCGTATTTTCCCTATCTAATCCACTTTGAAAAAATGCCATCAGTCCATGCTACTCTTATTATAGCACAGGCTCTCGTCCTATGTTGTGCTAATTCCTCTATTGTAGATTTTTTTCTGCAAATATACATACCTGAAACCACTGACAATGCTGCCTCCTCTTTGTTGCAGAGCTTTTATCGATTGCACAGGCTGCGGAAACTCACTTTGAGTGACAATGAGATCCTGTGTCTCTCGCCGAACATCCAGAACTTCAAAAATTTGGTGGAGTTGGATTTCTCCCGAAATAGTAAGTGGCTCACTGCTTTTACTTGCCTATAGGTATTATGTTATTTTCAGTTTCTACCATCTGTCTAGCCTTCAGCAAGCAGCAAGCCCAACCATATCTTATTTAAACTGAAGAATTTGGAAACATTCTTTGCCTTGCTTTAAGGTTTATCAGAAAATTTTGGAATCCTCTATTCATCAATCTTTCATTAGCCTTACCTATGTCACCTTTTGCTCCTGACCTTTATTTTGTCTTGAATCTAAGATTGATACAGTGGCTTTCAGTCAAGACTTTTTTCCATAGGTGTAACCCCTTAAAAGGATCCAATATCCCAGTCATTTAGGAGAACTGTGAATCTCAAGTTGATATGTCTCAATGTTTTACTTTTAATTGCTTTCTTTTTAAACGGTTTATTTCCACTGGTCATCCAAGTAGGTGATAACAGACACTCTAGCCTTAAAACTCTCTTCTTGCCTCTCTAAAAATAATCTTTGATTTTTGCAAGAATTAGTTTACCTATTTCCTCTGATTTTAAGTAAAATTGATTAAACGAATGAATACTGAAAACAAAACAATATCAGGTTTCAAAAGAGTTCTTGCTGTCTAACTTGGACACTTAATAAAGCCGTCTCATTTCATAGTTATTTTTTTCTAGATTTAAAAAAAAATTTAACTACCTAGGTATCAAGAAGAATAATAAGTAAGATAATAATATTTCCTCCACCCATAGGTAGAAGGAGGAAGTAAACCCTTAAGAAAAACCCAGGAAGAAAAAAATGGCAACATATCAATGAGAGAGAAGTAATACTTCCCCTCCTCACAGATGGAGCAAGAAAGTATAAGTCAACACGAAATAAGGAAGAGAAAAATTATTTAATATCAATAAGAAAAAAAGTGTACTAGATAAATTAAGTATCTAAAGAAAAGGATCGTATACTTTAAATCGTAAAAGTAATGTGTAATGCTTAACCAGGGTGTCTAGCGACCGGGAAAATCGGGAGAACCGGGAAATGTCAGGGAAATCAGGGAAAACCTCAGGGAATCCGCAAAAATTCGGCACGTCAGAGAATTTTATTTCGCAGGAGAACAACAATTTTCAGAACAAGGATTTTCCGGAGAATGTTCTTGCGGAAATTCCTACCGAAATTTCTGCTGATGTCCTCGCGAAAAAAATTCTTACTTTCATCTAACCAGTTCAAAAGTGTCGAAAAAGTAGGAATTCTTTCCTTCTAGATGTCAGGAATTTTTTTTTTTTTTTTAGAACATTGCTCGACACCCTGTTTACGCGAGCCAGGCGCGCGAAGCACTTTAGGGGGGTGGACCGAGAATCGGTCAGGGGGCGAACCTCCCAATGAAATATAAATGTACTAAATAATAAACTAAACCCAAAAATTGTATTACTGCTCCCTGTAGAATCTTATATTTCACTGAGCGGTGCTAGATTTCGGGTGTTTTGATTTCGAGTGTGTGTACCCGCGACTCGCGGCTGTGGCCCGGGGTCAGCGACCCCGCGGGGGGGGGGGAGGGGGGTCTGGGAAAGGTATCGGACGGGAGAGGGAGTCGCGGTTGGGCCTCGTAATAAAAAGTCTAAATTCGTGGAGCCGAGCTGGGACTCAGGTCCGACTCCTATCGGCTTTTGTGGGCTCCGTCTCGGTCGTAAAGCGAGTCGCTACATTCCCCCGCTCCCGGTGTTTATGTACTCATACTTATACCTCTCTTCTTTAATGAGAGCCATTAAGTCCGACTCGCGAATCGATCTGCGGGAGCGCGCTTACGTGTCGCCCGAGGGCCCGCCCCGGAGAAATCTATGATATGGATGAATGATAATTCGAAATTTCCATGGTATTCGTCCTTGTATCCTGTAGATATGTCACCAACATCCCCGAAAAATTCTCAAAAGATTTTTTTTTCCTACTCATGGGCGGAATTTTTGCCTTGAGAACAAGGGATGGTGCCTACCTTCAGTAAAACCGAAAAATAGTATAAAAATGTGATATGGATTATTCGAAATGTCCATGGTATTCGTGCGTGTATTCCGTAAAAATGTCACGAAAATTTCACGAAAAATTTCTTCTTCCACTCACGGGCGGAATTTTTGCCTTGAGAACAAAAACATGGTGTCTTCCTTCAGTAACAACCGGAAGATATTAGGAAAAAAATTGGTGTTTCAGAAATATGTGATATGGATGACTCGAAATGTCCATGGTATTCGTGCATGTATACCGTGGAAATGTCAAGAAAAGTTCCTGCGCAAAAAAATTCTTTCCCACTCATGGGCGGAATTTTTGCCTCGAGAACATGAATTTGATATTTACCTTCATTTATAACCGGAAACTATTGGAAAATTCGATGATATCAGGAAAATTGGCCGTGAATCTGGAAATACCTAGTTCAAGCATTTTTCAAACATTTCATTTATTTCACCATTTATATGTTGATTTTTTTAATCAAACTAGTGTCCAGTGCTTTCATTTCCCGGAACTTTTAAGATGTTCCTTAATTTTTCCTGGAACTTTTGAAATTCCCGAAATGTTCCGGAACTTTCTTGGAACTTTTGAAGACGTCTAAGAGGAATCCAGGAACTTTTAACGGACATGGAGTGGGAGCACTGCTGTTAGTGTCAATCTAAAATATCAAGAAAATCCAAAATTGAATTTTAGTAGACACCCTGGAAAGGAGGTGGTCGCGTGTTAGCTAGGCTAAGTCATAGAGGTTTCGAATTTCGCTACCTTCGAGTATATCAACCCTGCTTTTCCAACTCGAGGGGGGAAAGCAGTTCCCTTGCCTCCCCCCGGGAGGGTGACAGCTGCGTCACGGATGTGAAGTGATGGCAACACAGGGTTTGAGCGGCAACATGTTGGACCGGCGGTGAACGTGTTCCCAACGCTGCGTGGTCGCTCCTTGCAGCCGGTTTTTCGCACCTCGTAAATCCGCGATCTCCCGTAATTACTCGCTTGCAATACCCACAGTCGCCTTGAAATTGAACTCGCGTTTCGTTGTTGCCGGCATGCACCTCCCGAATCCTTACATTCGTTTTTCACCCACGAAAATGCCTGTCCTGGAGTAACTTGATAGAGAGAGTATCGACAACTTGCACCACGACGTCCCATGGAAGCCCTAGGACCCAAAAATGGCGGCGCTTTGTTTTGGCTTTTGATGATGGGAGGGTGGTCAATGCCAACTTTTAATCCTTATCACCAGCCGCTCTTACTGCCAACCTTACTATCTAAGATTATTTTTCTCGAAAATAACGTTCGATTGGCCGTATTTAAAACTATGTGAACTCGTCGTAGTAATGCTTTTTAGTAAAATTCCCGAAGCGATGCGCGTATAAAACTACATTTTAAGTAACTAGAGAATCGCATTTCGCGTGTTGGTATTAAAATTGAATAAAATGTAGGAAAATGTTAATCAGAACACGCATTTCGAATAATTAATTTTCACGTCACTTTCTTGGATGCATTTCGACATCATCAGATGCAATCTTCAGCAAGAACAATATTTACGGAACAAGACACTGAGAACTTTAACAAGGAACGTTTCACAATGCATATTAAAAGAATCCAAAATGAGATGCTATTTTAGTAATCTTCAACATTGTGTTTTGATTATAGGATGCTAATGAGGCTTGGTGTTCATTTTAAGTCATTTTTTTTTACATTCGCTCATAGCGTCCATTATTTTTGGGTCTTAAGAACTCCATGAAGCTTAAGATGGAGGAGCCAATCAAAAACGGCGCCACATGGCGATACTCCCTCAATCAAGTTACTCTCGCATGTCCTTTGAGCCAGTCGATCTTGTAACAGCTCTTTTCCTGACGACTGATAGACCATTTATGAGGGAAAATTGTTATAAGTTTATGAAGAGCTGGCATCGCTGATCTGTGCTGGTATGTGCGCTATAACTGCCGAGCCAGCCGGCCGGCGACCCAGCTTGACGCTTTGGCACTGCGAAGCTTCCGTGGGATGGGCAGGGTGCTGCTTTATGAGAAATAAAAAGGAACAAGTACTGCACTTCCAGTCCGATCCCAGAGTACCAAATCGTCTTTGAGGAATCTGCTCTCTTGGGGGCTCCTTTTTCTAGCTGTCGGAGAGTAGGAAGGCACATTCTCAAATAAACACTTGTTTGGAACAGAGAATTCTGCATCCTCTCAAGATCAAGTGGACTGCATTTTGCAATAAGGAACTACCATTTCTGACTCATTTCGGAAACAACATATCTATGGTGAAACTGCCCAAGTGCCGAAATGTGTATCTTGGTTTGCGGCGCACGATGGATCGAGTCAACGGGGGAGGTCGAACAAATTTTGGAAACTTCATAAGCTTATAACTCGGTTGACGCGAAATTTTAAGATTTTAAAAGTGGTTCCATTGGTTTTCTCGCGAAATTTTCTTTCAGGGGCTCCCCTCAAAATTTGAAATGTGACGAATTTAACATACAAATTTGCAGTGTTAGTCAATAATTTCATGTCTGATCTCTCTGATTTACTCGATGCACTGTGCGGTGTTGCAGACCAGGGGTGCAGAGGCTGCCTTTACTTACTACAGAGTATATATACACTGAAAAAAACTATTGCTGAAATTAGCGTGCACGCGGGTATTTCATGGCATGGTGTAGCTAAAAAACGAACGTGCAAACCATGCAGGTAAAATCGCTACACAAACAGCTAACTTTCACACACGCGTGTAGGTGATTTTGCTCTCTAAGAAGCTACGTCTGTTACCTTTTTATTTATCCCTTCGTAAATTTCGCTATTTTTCCGTAAATTCCGCTATTTCAGCCTAACCATTGAGCTATTTTTACTGTTCGCAAAGTACCAATACCAAAAAATGCAGTTACACTTCCAAGCCACTCGATGCAAGATTAACTGCATGAAGGCGCGCAGATCGGTGTAGAAATTCGTGCTAGTCGTTCACTTGATTCAACACCGTGCACGGATAAGAAAGCTTTACGAAGTGAAGCAAATTTTGCTCCACCCTAAATCGGTGAATTAGCAATCCTTTTTTTTCAGTGTACTACTT